AATACAAATGCACGCCACACTTTTCAGATATTTATTTGTAAACAATTTTGAAAACCATTTATCATTTTCCTTCTACTTCACAATTATGTGCCACTTTGTATTGGTCTATTACATCAAATCCCAATAAAATACATTTATGTTTTTGGTTGTAACATGACAAAATGTGGAAAATTTCAAGCAGTATGAATACCTTTTCAAGGCACTGTATATGTATGTATGTTATACTTGCTTGAGCAATGGCTTTGCTCAAAGCAGCCCTGATCCTCTTCTATTTTGGGTCCCCCGTGGGCATTCCTGACTCTTCCCCCCAACCAAGTGCCCCCAATAGGAAGCTTCTCCAGAGCATGGCTCAGGTCTGCCCCCCACTCTCTCCTCATTGGCTCACTGGCTGTGATTGGCAGCAGCAGGAGCCAATGGCTCTCACTACTGTGCGAGCCAATGAGGAAAGAGAATCACCAAAGAGCCACGGCTCTCATGCACATCACTTGATCTTGATGAAGCTCAGGTAAGTATAAGGAGGCTAAGGGGGAGCTGCATCCAGATTTTTTTAACCTTAATGCATAGAATTAATTAAGGTAATAAACTGTCTGCCTTTAGAACCACTTTAAGCTTTGGCAAAAAACCCCTGAAAGCTGAATGGTTTCTATGCAGAACTGCATTAGATTTTGCCCTCTCCTGTTTCAGTAAATCAACCCCATAGAGTGTTTGATGTTTGGCAGAAGCAATGATAATCACTTGCAACTTGAGGCTAATGATACTGTTTGAGAAACTGTGTAAGTGTCTGTGTGCTGTTTTTTGTTACTAAGCAAAAAGATATTTAATTGAATGTGTTTCATTTTTAAGGTGCATGCATAAATGCACTTCAGCACATCTTATGCACAAATGCAGAAAAACAATCCAGTTCATCACATCATACAGTAGAATCAAATAGATTACATCCAAAAATGTCATCCAGCATATGACATGTACAGGATGTCCAAAAATAAAATACGTTTTATTTTAAAATATGTTTTTTTTCTCCCTTAAGTCCGTTACCTTGTGTGTCCTCTCAATGCACTGAAAAACTGATTCACACACACCATGTGAGGCGTACCAAGTAAACCTGAGGAAATAATCACATAGTGAGCACAACCAGAAACATCCGCAGAGATGAAGCCATTACTATACTGACACAACCAGAAATGTCCACAGATGAAAAATCAATATCCATGAAATGCCATCCTGCTCCTTCTGTCCAACTTTTTGTACTCTAACCTGCTCTTCACTCTCCTGCCTCTCACAAGTCTTCCCTCTTTAACTCTGTGCACCCCCTTCTGCCCCATTTTACAGCTTTGTACACCATCTCTCACACCTCTTCCTGCATCTCACATCAGCCCCATGCTGATCCTTTCCTCTTTCAGTCTCCCCCTCTGTTATTTTCTGATCATAACTAGAGATGAACTCAAGGTTTGGTCTAAACACAAGTTCACAAGGACTGGACTTGTCGGATGGACGCCCCCAACAGTTACCTGTTCGTTGGGAGCTGAACGTCATATATAATAGATGTATTACTACTGCTATTATGCAACTTTGCACTATCAATGGTTGTTAAGGACTCCAGTGGGGGCAGGCGCCACCACGTTCTTAACAACTACTGATGTCATTGGCCAGGAATCCCCAGCCCTGTAAGCAAAGGGGCAGGATCCCAGTATGGTCATGTCTATATATGGTCAGTGAAGTACTTGGGGAAACCTATCCCCTTGTATATAATAACTGTCATCTGCTGGCCTTTCTATTTGCTGGGTGACAAATGAAGGAGTGGGATGTGTCTCAGCGGCAGTGTTTTTTTCTTTCAGTGAGCTGTCGGCCATCAGACATTGTGATTGGATCTGCACCACTAGTTCCCCAGGGCAGTGCCCACCACCATGCTATTTTTATGACACCCCCTCGCCTATTAGTCCAGAAAATGGGTATTTGACAGATTCAGCTCCTATTGATTTTAATAGGATTGGAAATCACCATATGAACATCTGTGAAATTTACTGAACCCCTGCCAAATCAAACCCAGGTCAGTTTAGCTCATCATAAATCCCAACTTGAAATTTTTGTATTGCCATGTAAATAAAAAATCAGCAAGCAGGCAGACATGTTCACTTTCCCATTTCTTCCCCCAAATTTCCTCCTCTTATATAAGCAAGCATTAAGCATGTAACAATGACAATGTCTTGGCTTAGCAACATCAGGCAATGCTTTAGACTTTCATACATTACAGAGGGTACTGCCAGTGTAGGTAGAAGAGAAAGTAACTGCAACCCTCACCTCCTGCAGAATAAATACAGGAGACTTGATAAGGCTGTTGGAAAGCTGGAAAAGGATGATGAAAATATACTTACACCAATGAATTTGGATATGTCAGCATATCATTTGCAGCTGTAACTTTACCTGGCCCACTAAACCATGGCCTACGTGCCAAGGTCATAAATCCAACCCTGCCTATGCTGCTTCCATCTTCATGTAATGTGCTTGCCTTTGTACTGCAGACCCATATTGATAGAAAAGACACTAACATATGGGGTAATGTTACAGTTATGCTCTCTAATTAAAAATTGCTTTTACCATCATGCCGTTTAAACAATTCCCACCCCAACTGAAATTTTTTTCTGCATTTAGAAAATGCATCTAGAAACTCTTGGGTGTTGGACATAAGTACTGCACTTTCTAAATCTGTTTAAATATCAGATACCAATAATTACAGGCATATCACCCACATTGATTTACAGAGTTACATAGTAGGTAAGGTTGAAAAAAATCATCAGTCCATCCACTTCAACCTGTTTATTTAATCTTTAGAGAGAACCTCAAATGTACTTGCATGCTATCTGACATTAACAATCAAACTTGGAGTTTGTGTAGTCGATATGCAACTAAGGTAAAGGTAGCTTCATACTTTGGGAGAAATTAAATTTTTTGTCATATCCACCAGCACAGACACCTCTGCTTATAGCTGTTCCCTTACCCAGCCACTGTGTTTCTTTCCTGAGTCCTATCTCAATCTAGGGCTGTGCCTATATGCTGCGGCTCTCTCCTCTCTCTGTTCACAGAGGCAGAAGCGGGAGCCAAAGCAAATGCATTGGGGCAGGGCCTGGTGACATCAAAATGGAGGAAGTCTACACAGAGCTGCAGCGTGATGTACCCAGAAAAAAATTAACCGTGAGATCAGCAGATACAATGCTTGTGGAATCTCTAATTTGGCTTTTGCTCTACACATGGTGCTTAGTTGCAGATAGTTCATGTGAGTGATACCGTGGCCCCTGCTATTTCTGTTTTTTTTACTGAGATTCTTGTCCTGGGAGAATGCAGTTAAGAGGCGGAGTAGATTCTACTCAACCAGCACTGTCAAATTGATATTAACCCTGAGAGGTAATAAAGTCTAAGATCTGGATTCTGGGAGAGTTCAATTAAAGGTTGAGCAGATTCTACCAGAGTTTTATTACTACAAATGTCCTTGAAAATGTTGTTTACCTTTCTTGAAACAGAAAGGTAAAGTGATCTGGTGATTGACATTACAGTGTTAAGTGAATGTGGGAATTCACTTAAAAGATGAAGGCCTTGTTTACATGGGCACTGAGGCCCCTATACTGTCAACAGGCCATTTTTTGCAGAGTATCTAGACTTCATATATTGCAGGCAGACAGTTTTTTTAACTCTATTAGGATACAGCAACTGCACGTTGCCACTGTATCCTTGCAGGCTCTATATCCATATAGATTTACATGGGCTACCTGTACACAATATCTGGAGTCTAGACATGCTGTAACGAATGGTCATTCATGGTATATGGACCTCAGCACCCATGTGAACAAGACCAGAGAGTTTAGTTTTGATGATTCAACGCAGAATGTTTTTTGCTAACTTTATCATTGCAATGCCTGCTACTATTCTTGCACTAGATAGACTTTAACTTGTTATAGAAAGGACTTGGGATTAAATCAGGGTTTAAAATTTCAAGTCCTGAGCTACTAGCCAGGCCTTAACAGTTTCTCACCACCAACAAACACACACAAACAGAGACACCTGTACACACAAAGACACATGTACACACACGCATAGAGACACATGTACACACACATACATACAGACACATGTATACACACAAGGGCGGACTGACCATTCTTGCACTCGGGCACTGCCCGAGGGCCCGGGCTCAGTAGAGGACCCCATGAAATGCCCCTGGTACCTTTTATAGGCTTTTTTGTGTGTGCTTTGAGTGTGGGCAAGCCCCCCCCCCCTCCCCCCCCCCCACACCAACCCCCCACCAACCCCCCCCCCCCCCCCCCCCCCCCCCCCCCCCCCCCCCCCACCCCCCCCCACCACCCACCCCCACACCGACAGGCCCCATGATCCCCTATTGCCCGGGGGCCCCATGTGTTGTCAGTCCGCCCCTGTATACACACACAGGCACATACAGACATGCATACACACAGATACATGTACATACACAGAAATACACCCGCATAGACACATGTACACACACACACAGACACATGTACATACATACACAGACACATGTACATCATTGGTGTCAGTGTATGTGGGGGGGAATAGTGCCCCATTATTGGTGTCAGTGGGGGGGGGGGAATAGTGACCCATCATTGGTGTTAGTGGGGGGGTAGTGACCCATCATTAGTGTCAGTGGGGGGGGGGAAATAGTGCCCCATCATTGGTGTCAGTGGGGGGGGAGGGGATAGTGCCCCATCATTGGTGTCAGTGGGGGGGAATAGTGTCATTGGTGTCAGTGGGGGGGAGGAATACTACCCCATTGTTGGTGTCAGTGGGGGAGGAATAGTGCCCCATCGTTTGTGTCAGTGGGGGGAGGAATAGTGCCCCATCGTGGGTCCCCCACCCCCCCCCCCCCCCCCCCCCCCCCCCCCGTCAGTGGGGGGGAAATAGTGCCCCATCATTGGTGTTAGTGGGAGGAATAGTGCCCCATCTTTGGTATAAGTGACACCAATGATGGGGCACTATTCCTCCCACTGACACCAATGATAGTTACCTTGCTGACCCCTGCTCCAGCCTGAACTCGCTCCCTCCCTCTCCCATCCACAGCCAGCATACCTGGCTGCAGCAGCAGCACCATCTGCACGGCACAGACACTTACCAGTCAGCTGTCTTCCTTCTCCGGCCGCTCTCCTCTTGACTTGCACCGGCTGCTCCCTGTCAAGGTCCTACCTTTTCCCAGAGGTTATGTTACTCCATGTGCTGGCATCCATCTTGGATTTCTGCAGAGCATGGTGGGAATCTTTTTTGCCTTCAGGTCTCTGAGGTCCATCCCCCAGAGGGGTGTGGCTGATTACATATAAGCCTGTGGTCCGCACATGCCCTTTGCACTTGTGTCTTGTGTCTTTGTGTTGCTACAGCTCTGTTCTGACTCTCGTGACTCTCCTGGAATCTGACTTGGCTTGTGACTCGACCATTCTTTGTGTTCTCCTTTGATCTGACCCTCCGTTGCTGAACCTGGCCCGTGACCTGTGATTCCCGTCTGCTGTCCTGTACCGTTTTGTCCCGTTGTTGTTGACCTGGCCTGCCCGACTACTCTATTGTCCTTTCCACCAGCTACACGCCATTGGCAGCGGCCATTACCGTAACTGGGGTGTCTTGGGGGCCGCGAGCTGGTTCCTGGCTGTGTCAAGTCCATCCCCACCATCAGGGGCCCTGGTGAAGGGCAGCCTGGGACTTAGACTCCGTGCCCTGAGGGACTTCGGTCTGTGGGTGGTGGTTGTCGTCAGCCAGTGCGTTACATTGTTAATAGGCCTGCCTGCCCATTCCAGCGTTCCTGTCCTGACACTCCCTCACTTCTTTGATCTTCGTGCTGCTGCTCAGCTCCTACTCTCCAAGCTCTGTCTCCTCGCCAGTCATTGGCTGCGTGTGTGCCTTTTCCTGAGCTACAGTGCCGGTGGCCAATCACTGGCGAGGAGGAGGAGCTTGCAGAGGGAGGGACAAGCTGCCATAGGCTGTTGAGTGATCTCGGGAGTGTGGCAAGATGACAGGGGCGGCATGACATCCCACCCACACATCATGATCCAGGGAAATGAAGACACCAGACCCACTGACAACCTCCCTACCCCTCCTCCAGCAGCGCCTCATGGACGTGGGACTCGGACCCAGATAAGACACAGCAGCCTGTCCCTGTACTAAGTGTCTCTTCCATGGGAAAGAAGGGGGGGTGGCGTTGCCGCTGCGCCGCCCCCCTAAAAAGTGCCGCCCTAGGCAAATGCCTTGTCTGCCTCGCAGCAAATAAGCCCCTGGGGGAAACACTCACCCCCACCATAATTTCCACTCGCCATTGGCGAGCAGGCGAGTGTAAATTTCAAGGCCTGGATTAAATTATACATTTCTTTACAAAATTGATTTAGTGGTGAAAGTTTATACTTTATATTTGTTAATAATATTTAGTGTTTTGACATATGCACTTTATAACACTAGTGGTTGGGGGGTTGATTATTAGATAGAAAAGAGCTACATCTATTCATTTTTAAATAGTTGTAATATCATTGAATAAGGGAAGATTTTAGCCAAACTATTATTTTAAAAGGGTATGACAAGGTCACTCACATTTATTATTTTAATCAGCTGAATTTTGTGTACATGAATTAGTAAGAAAGTTTCTCAATATTCCAATCAAATGCCTCATTTACCACATACAATTCTTTAACTTCCAGTAATGAGACATTATATTTCATCATATGGCATTGCAAAAAATGAAGCAACCAAGCCCTATCTAACTTTGTTCATTGCTTTAAAAAGAACTTCTCACAAATTGGCATTGGTAATAATCAGAATCTCTGAGTTTGTTAAAATAGTTTAGCCTTCTCTCTTGATTTCCTGAGTTTTTAACATTTATTCTCTCTTTGTTAGAACAGAAATATCAGACTGGAAGTCCCCATAATGGCTATTTCCTGCCCCTCCAGTGCTGATGAAAAAAGAAACGAAAAGGCATATAACAAATACGCTGTCAGGATTACATAAACAGATATAAAAATTGTTAACTGACTGGTTTAGTCCTCATGCACACTGGTCATTTTTACAGCTGCTGATTTTGGCTTTTGGCGTTTTTGTCTACAGCCAGTAAACTCCGCAGCATGTTATCCTATGTGTCCATGCACACATAGTTTGTAATCAGTGTTTTTTGGCAGGGGCATTTTTTGGCTGGAAAAAAAACCCCAGAACTAGTGCGTTTCTAGAGGAATTTTTTAGCTGTAAAAACGATACAACACTGAAAAACACGGCAAAATGCAGTAAAACATGGTAAAACATGGCAAACTGATGTTTTTCGACTTTTTATGAGCAAAAAAAATAACATTTTTCTCGTAAACAAAAAGTGAAAAATGCTAAACACGCCGCTAAACGCTAATGCAAAAATGCTAAAAAAATGCTGAAAAACTCACATTTATAACGTGACTTTGCACAGCTAACATTACAAGCATTATTAAAATGTCCAGTGTGCATGGAGCCATAAAGTAGAATTCCAGGTTTAAATATACTTTGTTTGGGCCACACAAAATATAGCAGAATTGGGGATTCTCTGCAATTTAGGAGAATACTTGTTTTTTCTGTGAATGAATATAAGGCTTTCTCTGTTTGGCCAAAGTGGAAATCATGGCATGAAAGCATGAAACATTCACCTCTCCCTATCACCATAGTTTTAGTAAAAGCTAGGCATTCCATTCACCACCCTAAAGATACTACAGTGGGAGGCAGATTTAAAATGAGAGGCAGAGTTGCTGCACATGGCAGTAGTAGGAGGTGAGCAAGTAGTGGCCTAGCAGGAGTAGGTTGGATTTAAAATGAAAAGCAAAGGTGCTATGCATGGTGGTAGTAAGAGGCAAGCAAGTCCTGCAAGACTTAGCTGTGGTAGGGTGACACAAATTGGAGGTAGGGCACATGCTCCTTTTTTCCCCAAAGTGGTCAACCCATTTAGTCATAGAACATCCAGCAGATTGTCCTTGGCTGACAAAGCCTTTCACACCTATGTCCTACAAAGAGCAAAGCAGTCAGTTGCATTACTAATGTTCCTGCTTCCCTTTCTTCCTCCTCTGCATATTCCATTAGCCCCCATTATTTGACTTTACTGTAGAAGACTTACAGCTGGAAGAAGATCTGAGTGATGTACAAGCCATATTCTCTTCTGACACAGGGAAAGATAGTTAGATGACCATGGAAAAATAGGGTGACTCAGACAGGCTAGAGGCAGGTGAAGCAGCAAAAATGTTTCAATCTACAACAATAAACTTGGTTACTAGTGGCAACCATAAGCTCTGAACCTTATGATCACTGACTATATTGGTTTCAGGGATAATAATAGAAACTCTAAAAAGTAGGTTGGCCCCATGTACTCCTGCCTGTCCAGAATGGGCCACTGGCCAGAATGCACCAAATATGTTCTGGAGGCACTGGCCTGCCCTGCAAGTGTAACATTATAGAGGACCTTAAATTGATTGTAAAGGCTGAAGATTCTTTGATGCATGAAGGTAAAAACCCTTCTGTGTGCAGCAGCCTCCCAATACTTATCTGAGCCCCATTGTGATCCAGTGATGTGCACGGCTCTCTGGAAACTCTCACTCCTCTTTGGCTGAGACAGCAGTGGGAGCCATTGGCTCCAGCTGCTGTCATTCACAGCCAGTAAGACAATGAGGAGAGAGAGGGGGTGGGGATGGACACACAGAGCAGAGGCTCAAGTGCAAGCCTGCTTGGGTGCCCCCATAGTAAGCTGCTTGCTCTGGAGGCACCAGCAGGGAGGGTCCAGGAGCACCAGCGGGGGACCCGAGAAGAGGAGGATTGGGCTGCTTTTTGCAAAACCACTGCTCAGAGCATGTAAGTATGACATTTGTTAATTTTTAATTGCCTTTAATATCACTTTTTCAATTTCAGAACAGTGCTTTTTTTTTGCGACCATCTTCATTAGACCTGGATTACAAAAAACTTCCAAACACCTACTGCAAATTCTGCAAAATAGAATTTTATGGATTTGTGGCTGGTTCAGGCATCCCTGGACCTGGTCCAGCTCACCGTAGAAGAGAAACATTTTTAAAAGGGAAAAACATTGTTAAATAAAAGAACTCCCCAAAAGGCCTTATTTATTAAAATTGGAGAATAGCCCTTTAATCATCTTAGAATGACAGCACACACAATTCAATAGATCCTAACTGGCTTACAATGTTGATACACCTAAGCTCAGCCCAAAAACTGATATGCAAGTGATTATGACAAGTTAACATAAATGTAGCTTTCGGTAATAATTAAAGCAGAATTCAAAACATATTTAAACGTTTTGTAATGAATATAAAGATTTAAACTAAAATGTGTTTTAGGAGCAGTCATTGGACTTTAATGGGCTGTGCAGTGGGCTTTTGACTCCAGTTTGAAACGTTTCTGAGATTATTTAACCCGCTTCAGCTACGTTTGTGTTCCCATAGACCTGTGTGATCTGAAATGAACAGAAGCCTTTGGGCATTGGCTTTTATATATGCCTGGGCTGCTTTAGGGAAAAAAATACATATATATTCAGTCATTTTTGTCATCTATGGCATGTCTGTATAAGGACTAATACATAATACAAGTATTTAGGACTGCTTCAGGAACATTTATTATATGATTTTATGTTATTAAATACTGTATCGTCTAGACTACACTATACACATTTTGTACAGAGAACATGAAATAAGAAACTCTCAAATCCCCAGATTGACTTTATAATGTGAAATTTCCTGTTTTTCACAGTGTTAAAGTAAGGGTCAGCAGTAGCTCATAAGACAGAACAAAATTGTAGTCTGGTCAGTAATAGCCACATATGTTTTGAGCCCTTATTACATAAAAGAAAATCAGCGTAGCAATAAAATCAGTATGTCAGTGACAGAGGTTTGCAATTTAGTACATTGTCCCTGAGTAATAAAGACAGATATAGAGTAGTAGTGCTGGTCCTGGTTTGGCAGTGAACAGCTGTGCTTGCTTTAAATGGCCATTATAACAGTGGAGATGGGAGACAGCATCTGTTATTCCTCCCTGTCCCCTACAAAAGTTTTCACATAAAAATGAAGTCACAGTTATTGTATATTTTTGTATTTGCATTTTTATTGTTACTTGCAGAAATCAGACTTTATAAGGCAGCTATGCACAGAAAAAATAGCATTTGACTTTTTCAATTATATGTTAACATATTAAACAAATATTTTTTTTTTGGATATATTTTATTAGGAAAGTTGATTTGCTATCAATGCTGGTCAGCACTGTTAGTAAAGCGTGAATGATTTTTGTTGCTTGCATCACTTCCTTAGATTGCAGTCAGTGTGATTCACTGCCCCGTATAATTATCAGTTGGTCAGATGTGCTGATTTCTATGTTGTAACTGCACTACCATAGCAAACGGTGAGTAATTATTTATATTTATTTATATATAAATAAATATATCGCATTTAAAACAGTGAATCCATGTAAACCTGGCATTCTGATACAGAGTTTATTCAATCACCTATTTCCATCAAGGGGTCAAGCAGCTAGATTTCTGCATCTGAGTTTTTATGTGCCCATCTATAGCATTTTATTTATTGTACCTGCTGGATTTTTAATGTATGTAGCTTGAAAGCAATACAGATAGAGCAATGACAGTAGGGGTAGATCCTCAGCAAGATATCACTGGTTTATTAACTAAAAAAGCTAAAGCTTAAGCCCATATGTGTCCAAAAAATAAAACGGTATGAAATCCAAAACCAAAAATGTACTATATTGCACCTTTTCCAATCACTGGATGTGGTGCCTGCATTTAATTTTTTTGTAGGCTTTTTCCCCACTGTTTTAATCTTGTGATCTGGCCAAAAAAACACTTTTTGTATTAGAGTGTCCCTACTCTGGAAGAAGGAGCAACAGAGACATCTTTTACAGCAGCATTGTCAGTCTGGAGGAAGGGGAGTGTTAGATGCACTAGAAGATTTATATAACAAACTGAAGCCAAACTCCAGTTAATTACTAGCAGTCACAGCAAAATTTTTTTTTCCTTTGGGGGTAAAA